GGTGGCACCGCGAGCACCGCCGTGCCAGGGCGCGCGCCACGCACCTTCGTAGCACAGCTGGATGTAGAGCAGGCAGTAGACGCAGTCGACGGCGTCGCGGCGCACGCTGGCCAGCGCGTCCGAGCAGCGCGGCGAGAAGAGCGCCACGAGCACGCCCAGGTTGTAGAAGGGCACCACGGCCTGCGGCGGGCGCAGCCGTCGGCCACGGGGCCCACGCGTGCCCACCGACGTGCAGCCCCTGCCCCTGCCCAGCCCCACTCACGCTGACTTGCAGCTTGGCCAGGTAGAAGTGCAGCAAGGCGGCGCTGAGCTCCACGGCGCGCTGCCGCTCGTGCTCCTTGCTGGATTTGATCCAGGGCCCCAGGTGCTGCGGGGGCAAGCGGCAGGGCTGAGCGCACGAGGGCACCCGGCGGCACCACACCGTGGCAAAGGGAGCCGGGTGCCGCCTGTGCTGGGCCCAAAGGTGGCACTTGGCAGCGTGCCCTCCTCTGCCTCGGCACCTTCGGCACCAGCGGAGGCTCCGAGGCACCAGCGGAGGCTCCGAGGCACCAGTGGAGGCTCCGAGGCTGTGCCAGGGAGCCCCGTCACGGAGCCATCGAATGCTTAAGGGCAGAAGGGACCTCTATAGATCACCTAGTAGGGTCACCCAGAGCATGTGGCACCAGGGGACAACCTGGCCGYGCACCGGGCGGGCACGAGGAGGCCCGGCCGGGAGCAGAGGGCRGGCGGGAAGAGGCTCCGGCCTCCCCGGCAGGGCACCCACCGCGAACATGTCCTGCAGCCCGTGCGGGGTGAGGTTCCTCCGCAGGAGGCTCTTCAGCAGGTCCTTGAGGGCGCCCAGGGTGTCCCCGTAGAGCGTCTGCGGAGCGAGAGGCCGCGTGAGGATGGCACCAGCCCCGCGTCCCACCGGGCACACATCCCAGCGCGGAAGGGGACGCATTCCAAAATGCCGGCTCTCCAAAGCCCCCCAGCAAGGAGCACGGAGGCGGCGCGAAGGCGAGGGGCGCGCGGCCGCGGCGGGGCTCGCCCGCG